GAATGTAAAAGAAAAGACAGCTAGAGAGAAACTAAACACTCCTAAAGTCTTCTATTCTTGCTTCCTATTTCTCTGGACTTTGCTAAATGGTCAGAACATTATGGGAAAGAAAAATCCTTGAGTTGAATATATGGAGTTCTGTGCTTAGGAGGACAAAATCTCATTCAAGAATTTCCTTCTGTTCAGTGGCATATGTCTAATAAAATCTTTACCAGAGAAAATGTTCTTTCTATACGTAACACTTCTATGACATACCTCTTCACATAGCATCTGTTCCCTCCCCCCACCATAATTCTTGTTGAGCTTTCTTTTGGGGGAGGGGGTGAAAAATGGAAAGAAAGGGAGTATACAATTAGATAATGTAAATTTAGGCTAGTGAAAAAGGCTTTATTTAAATTTCTGCCTAGAGTCTAGCCTTTAACAGTTATAGACGACAGAAATATTTTATCTATATAAGATCTAAGGAGAGAAAACAGCAAATTTACAAAATACCCCCCACCAACATCTCAGAAAATATTAGTCTGTAGGTATATGTTCTAAAAGAAATTAATAAGTATTTTCTCTGAAATTCTTTTTGAGAAAGGTCAATTGTCTTGAAAGGTGTACAGAAATAACTTGACATTAAACAAGTGAAAAGCTTCTCTAAGAGGGCCCTCTAGTGGAAGAAATCAATTATTCACAGAATTTCTTATTAAAACGCATGCTGCACATGAAATTATTTAACACAGTAATTATTCTATTTAACAACTTATTAAAATGAGTCAAAAATGAAAACCACTTTCTATATGAAAGGAACTAAACTAAGTTCTAGTTTTCTAGGTAGCATGAAATTTTACTAAAATACTAGTTGTAAACATTTCTTTTCCTTTAATACAAATACAAGCACCAAATTTAATTCCAATAAAAATGATTTCAAATTCAAATGTTACCTATAAGCTTTAGTACATAGGAGATAGAATACATATTTTATAAATGTAAAAAGTATGTACTCACTCCTTTTTAGAATGTAAACTTTAAAGTTTTAATGTCAAATTTGAAATTTAGAAATAAGTTCTTAACTGACTTTAATATACAAAATTATAAGTTCTATTTCAATCAAACACTAAACAATGAAGTAATGTCAATACTACTATTTACTTAAGTGATTTTCCCTCAAGAAATATGTATCTCATTTTAAAAATGTTTCCTCTGAAATTTAGGTGATTTTTTTGTTTTTGTGGGTTTTTTTTGGTGGGAGAACTAAGCAGGTAGGCAGATGAGAGAATGTTAGATGAAAGCACAAAATTTCTAAATTTATTATTAGAACAATTTCTAATTTGTATAATTTATATTAATCCTAATGTAAATTCATACCTTTAAAGGAAATATTGGCTTCATGCTAGGCAGGACACTGAGCACCTTGACATATGTTATTAAACTGAATACTACAGTATCCCTGAAAGTCAGGTAGAGTTCATAAAGCTATAGCTGAAGACAACAGGCTTAGTGATTAGAAAACCTGCCTGAGGTAAAAAAAAAAAAAAAAACCATCTGTCCACCTCCATATCTGGATTCACATGCAGTCACCTTACTAAGTTGTCCTAAAATTATTCCAGAAGGTAGTGATATAATTACCAAACAGAGGCTCAACCATTTGCCTTTCTCTGGGAACATTTTCTAGGTCTGGAACCCTGTTTGCCTATGTGCTTTACAACAACTTGGAGAAGTATCAAACTGGAGGGTGGTTAGCTATCTCTAAGTTCCCTTATAAGATGACAATTCTTCCTGAAATTCTGTGTCAATCTTCTTTTGTGAGCTTGTTTTCATGATTAGGGTAAGGAACAAAACCAAAAGTGGTAGTAATGGTTCCTTAGTGCAACCTGCCATGTGTTCAAAGGGACAAATAGGAAAAAAAATAATTCTTGTTTCAAATGAAGTAGGACAGCAAGAGGAAGAGTAAGAACATGTATGAGTAAATGCTAGCAAATACGGGAAGAAAGAACAAGAAGAAAAAAGAACAAGTAAAAGAGAAAGTGAAGTACTGTATACTACTTTACTATGTATTCTTTAACTATCATTCCTGACTATATAAAATGTGTGGTTAGTGACTATGGTCAGTCAGCAACAAATTTATTAAGAATATAGTGCAGCAAATAAAAGAAATAACCTTATAATAGGGTTGGTAAAATTATAAATAAAAAGCATTTAATATTTTTCAGATCAACATATGAAAAAGGAAAGCAGAATGGTACAAAATAAAGTCAAGGGTTGTACCAAGTAAGAGTAGTATGAAAAAACTTGCCAAGGGTGTGTGAGGGGGGTGGTAAGAGGCTGAGAACTGAGTGGGTATTATTTCTAGGTAACAAAATCTAGAGACAAGCAGCTAACTAGGCCATCTTTGTAAAAAATTGTGACTCAAAGACTGAAAACAAAACTTCCAAGAAATTTTCCTACTATGCAGCTCCACTCGAAAGGAGTATTTCTGCTGCTACTAACAGAATAAATGATAAAAAAATATCCTGTCAGTCTATACCCAATCTTAGTACATGTGAACAAAGGCTGTGGGAACAGTATCTCTCACTATGTCAAAAATGGGTTAAAGTTTGAGCAAATGCTTACTCCAAAGTCATCACGATTTTATACGTTTGTAAACATGACACAAACCCATAATTTTCTTAAGTTCTCATTAAAACTTAATTCAAAAATAAAACTTCAGGCACCAGGATCAAATACTGTATGGCATAACTCAACTTAAGGCTCTATACAACATCTGCATGATAGGTCAATTTCTTCATGAAATCTCTTCTATAACACCACTTCCTGTACTGAACAACCAAGTTCATAGGCTCAATCAATGAAGAAAATTTAACATGGGCTCTACAACTATTTGCCAACAGAACACAAAATTGGCAGATGACTTTCCTCATATTCCTATGAAATGAAAACTGATGAGGTTCTCCTTTGGTAGTTAGTTCCATATCCAGCTACCACCCCAACCCCCTACAGTTTGGGTACTATAGCTCTGGTTTCTTTTTTACTGGATTTCTTCTATATATCCCGAATGACTTTTGCTATTCCTGTTGCCTTCCTCCCATCTCCCTCCCCAATTTTTTTTTGGTGGAGAAGTGAGAGGAAAGGAATTTTCCCATCTTCCAAGCCTCTGGCTCAAACTGAACTAATTCGAGCATGACAAATCTGACCTTCAGCCACCTTTGGCTAGGTGTTTGTGCTTGCCTATTCTAAGATGCTTATCTGCTAGCAAAAAATTTTTTTTCCAGTTTCTTCTAGCCATAAGCGTTTTCAGGATGCCACAGAGTTTGAAGAAGCTAGCTTCAGGATAATAAAGATGCTATTCTACTTTTATCTAATATTTCCATTCATCACTGCCGTCCTATGTCTATTATTTCCTACAACTATCGTGTAAGGACTCTTTCCACAAAAAGATACTATTATAAGTTCACTTTTACATGACAGGTTTGTTTCTAAAATGTTAAGTGTAAAGTGGATTACATACAGACCACCACCAGAGTAGTAGAATCTGAGAAAGTAAAAGAATGGATGAGGAAGGGTACAGGGGACTTCGAATACATAAAAGGTTTTAAAAATCTGCAACAAATATAAAATATAAAAGACTTCAATGAAACAAATGATAAAATCCTAACTTAAGTTTCTTAAGGTCGTTTCAGCTTTGAGATATAATTGATGAATAAACTGCAGATAAGTGTACAACTTGATGAGGTTGGACAAATATATACACCAGTGAAACCGTCACCACCATGATAATGAACATATGTTAACTTCAACAGCTTTATACCCCTCTGTAATCCATCCCACTGTATCCTCCCCAGATAATCACTGATTTCTTTTTGTCACTAGGCATTCTGCATTTTGCAGAATTTCATATAAATGAAATCATATAGTTTTTTGTTCTAGCTTCTTTCATTCAGCATAACTGAAATCCATCACTGTATCAGTAATTCATTCTTTTTTATGGCCGAGTGGATATAATTTGTTTACTCATTTAACTGTTGCTGGACTTTTGTTTCCAGTTTTTAGCTATTACAAAGAAAAGCTGCTACACACATTCATGTAGCAGTCTTTCCTAAACACATGCCATCATTTCTCCTGGGTATATATATACTAAAAGAAGACTGGCTGGATTACATGGCAGGTATATGTTTTGCATTTTAAGAATCTCTCAACTGGTATTTCCAAAGTGGTTATATACTTTAAATCTCTACTAGCAATGTATGTTGAGTTCCAGTTGTTCCACATCCTCACCAGCACTTTCGTACGCTCAGTCTTAAAATTTTAGTCATTCTAATGGGTCTGTGGTGGTAGCTCATTATTATAGCTTTAATTCACACTTTCCACTGACTAATAAGATGGGGCATCTTTTCATGTGCTTATTTGCTATCCATGTGCTTTCTTTAATGAGGAATATGTTGAAATCTTTGTACATTTTTTAGATCGGGGTTTTTGTCTTCTTTGTATTAACAATTTTAAGAGTTCTTTTTACAATATCCATCAGGGGTTAGCAAACTTTTTCTACACAAGGCCAGTAATTAAATATTTTAGGTTTTGAGAGCCACATATAGTCTGTCACATATTCATTCCACTAAGGTCACTAAGATTTTTTCCAAAAGTTTTATACCTTTAGTTCTTTTATTGCTAAAGTCCTTATATTTAAGTCTATGACCCACTTACATATGAGCTAAGGGTTGTAGTTCAATTTTTGCATATGACTATTCACTTGTTCCAGCACTATTTGTTAGATTATTCTTTCTGCACTGAGTTGCCTCAGTATCTTTGAAAAAAATAAAAAAAAATTGACCACATGTACATACATATACATGTGAATCCATTTCTGAATTCTCTAGTCTGTTCCACTGATCCACATATCTACTTTTATTGCAAAACAATGATGTCTTCATTACTTTAGCTTTATATTGTCTTAAATTAGGTAGTATGTCATCCAAATTGTTCTTTTTCAGTTTTTCTAAGTCCACTGAATTTTAGAATGAACTTTTTTATAAAAACTAAAAATCCTGCTGGGACTTTTATTCAACCCATAAATTTGGGAGAGAACTGACATTTCAACAAATTCCGAATCTTTGTTGAAATCTATTAAGTCTTATTTGATCTTCTGTCAGCAAAGATTTATCAATTTCATTGTATAAATCTTATAAATATATCCCAGAGTATTTAATATTTTTGATGTCATTGTATATAGTATTTTTTTTATTTTAATTTCCAATTATTCACTGCTAATATATGGAGCCACAACTGATTTCTGTATACTAAACTTATATCCTGCAATCTTGCTAAATTCACTGTATTCTTGGAAACTGGTAGTTTTAGAGCAGTGGTTCTGAAATGGGGGCATTTTTGTTCCCTAGGATATATCTAGCAATGTCTGGTAACATTTTTGGTTGTCATAGTTGGGGTTTGGGAGCGTGTACTGCTGGCACGGAGCAAGTAGAGGCCAGAAATACTGCTAAATAGTCTACAATGCACAGGACAGACCCCCACAAAAAAACTGTACAGTCCAAAATATTGATAGTGCGCTGAGGTTGAGAAACCCTGTTCCAGTGGCTTAATCAAACCGAAATTTAATTTTTTATAACATTATTTCATAGGTGGTGGTGTATTATTCTTTTATCAGGATACACATAAATAAATATCTGGCTATCTTTTTGTGATGTTAGCAGCTAATGAGATCCACTGATTAGCAGCTGCAAGAAGATAATACTCTTAATATAATCTCTTCTGCATTTATTATCTGAAATACTTCTATAAAGAAAAGTATCCTCTCATTATTTACTTCTGGTAAAGAGAAACTTTCCCTCATCATATTTTGTTTACCCTAAATAACAGTTCACACAGGAAAGGAAGGATAAATGCTAGATTCTTTCTTTGCCATTTTTCAAAGTAATGAGCCGGTTTCCTAATATCCTCCAAAGGTGACCAATATTATTTTTTTAAAGCATCATTATGAATTCATGGAACAAGATATTTTGATGTGTTTCAATCTATTATCACTTCACCTATGGCCAGTAGGAGATTCATCATGTTAGTTCCTGAGTTGTTGTCTTTAATAATTTCTTTGCTTTCTGGTATGACTATATAATTGAGGTTACTCTTACACATTCTTTCCCTGGACTAGAATTGGCTGTTTCTCTAATGGTTCAATTTAGTGAAAAATAGTAATCAGAGGCCAAAATCTGGTTGTTTTCAATAGAAAGAGCTGGGAATTTTTTTTTCTTTTAGAGAAAATACACTGAGTTCATTATTTTTAATTCAAATTAAATATTTCAAGGTTATTATCTTTGTTTTATATCTGAATCTCTTATTCTTGTGCTGAAAATCTAATGACATTAACATAATCCCTGTTTTATCCTATACTGTTAACAGTTTCAGAATAACATTACAAATATTATTAACAATATAAATGAAAATAGTACAAGATTTCTTTGTAATTCTTTTTGTCCTTAATATCCAATTTGTTTTACGTCAACAGGAATAATTTTTTCTGTGAGGTTATATTGCCAAGTCAAAACAAAGTTAGATTCGTTTGTTTCATTTAACTTTTGCTAAATTTGTCTCACTGCGTTTCTTCATTTCACTAGTAGTGATTTGCATCCTTTACAATAACACTATAATCATAAGTATAGCATTTTCTTGAGTTCTGTGAGTCATTCTAGTGAATTACTGAACCTAAGAGGGTGACGGAAACTCGAATTTGTAGCCAGTTGGTGAGAAGTGCAGGTGGCTCTGGGGACCCTTGAACTAGCAGCTGGTGTCTGAAGTAATGGCAGTCTTGTTGGGTGCTGTGTCCTTACTTGTACAGTCTGATGCTATCCCCCGGTAGTTTGAAAATATACTGTAGTACACCAATAGGGATACCTTGAAACTTAGTTTTGTTATATATGTTGTCCATGGGTTTGTTGTTGTTACGCTGTATTAGTTGCTCTTCTATTTTGGGGAAAGAATTTGAAAGACTCAAAAACTATGCCACTGTCCCTATCATTTTGTTGTCAACTTTTCTTTGTATTTTAAGTTAACTTAGTATATCACATTCCGCCCCCTCCCTGCATACTATTTCAATATTTATCATCATTTCACAGAGAGTAAAAGGAGATTAAACTGACAAGATTACACACTAAGGCCACTCTTAGTGTTGATTAGAACTTATCTGCAGTTCATGAGATGTACAAACTACAATTAAAGTTGCTGCTTGGTAATAATAGTGACTGGAATTTGTATGGGTTAAGAAACCAGACAGAAGACTTTAGTTTCCAAGTTACTAAATCAAATATTGATTTCCCTTTTTTGATTATTACCACCTGTCCACCAACCAACTAACAAAATGCATAGCATATTTCGAATGTTGCTTCCTTATCAGCTTAATGCACTAAATTTGTAAATTAAAGCACATAAACTGCATACTACGAAAGATGATATACATTGTTTTCAAATTGGTCTGAGGCTAGAACCCCAAAATAGAAAATAAAACAAAACTTTACCTCTGTGAGACGTAGTTGTGATGATATAGCCATATAATCTGATTCTAATTTGTTTTTCTCGGAGATCACAGTAGTATTCTGAAGAACTAAATTTACTTTTTGTATATGCAAAGAAGTACAACTCTAGGAACAAAACCCATAAGTTTGTTTTACAATTAAGAAAAATAGTACATTAAAACAATATAAACCATAAAAAAATATTTTTCCAATGGAACTGATGTCTTTCAAATAGTTCTTTTTATAACTATTTCTTACATAAAAAATGTTTTTACTGAGTCATCTGGAATAAAATAATTTACCCTAAGGAGTGCTTTTAATCAATTTATTGACCTATAAGGAAGAATGTCAAACAGAGCAAGTTGATATTATTGATAAAAATCTCTAGCTAAGATTTTACTACCCTGTCATATCTCCTTACTACAAAAAAATGACTAAAATTAAGAAAATGCCTTACCTTTATTAGGTTTGTTAATTCAGTAACAAGTTTTGCTTTTTGAACATTTATTTCTTTGATTTTGGTACTTGCTTTTCGCTCTTCTTCTTCGAGGTTGCAAGTATCCTGTTCCATCAACTTTAGACTGCATGAAACAAATAATGATGTAGAAATCAAAGTTATACGTAAGGATTGAGCCTAAATCCTTATCTGAGGTCCCCTGCTGTTTTATGGGCTATTTAGATATATAAACTGGGAGCTTCTAGATTAAACAATCATTTTATGCAAATATTCAGGATCAGTAAGTATTTGTTAAGATACACTATGTACCCAGCATACTCTAGGTATGTTAGTGTTAATGGTATAGATCAGGAGTCAGAAAGATGTGAATTTGCTCCTTGCAACTAATGAGCAATATAACTGGACAAGTTACTCTTCTGAGCTTCAGTTTCTTCATCTAAAAACTGAGAATAATGACAGTATCTCTCTTAGAGGGCTGTAGTGAAGATGTAAAATATGTAATACACTAAAATAGTGCATGGCCCATTACTGATTGATAAGTATTAGTTGTTATTCTTGTTATTAATATTATTTATAAACACAGTCCTAGCCCTAAAAGAGCTTAACTAAGGGGATTTGATTAATAGGTTAAAAAACAAACAAACAAAAAAAAACCCAACAACCACAATGGAAAGACAATACAACAATCCAAAAAAGTTAATGCTTTGCTCTTTACTATAAGATTAAGAAACTAAGGCTCAGAAGTTAATTAAGTTACTTAAAATTACAGTTAAGGTGTAAATGTGTTTGGCACTGAAGTTTAAGTTCTTTCCACTACACTTTGTTGCAATCAGGGAATAAAGCAAGAACAAAGGATGGAAGCAACAATAAACAAGAATGAACAAGTTCAGCAGATGTTGGGAGAGAGAAGCCTGAATGGCACATGAAGGAGAGTGTTGGGGAGGTGAAGAAAATGAGTTGGAATGGGTAAAGTAAAAAAAGATTTTGAAAATCCTGAAAGCCAGTCTAAGGGAAAGTAATGTTTAATTAATTTCATGTAGTAATGGCAGGAAACCACAACAGATATTCTTGAATGGGGTGGAAAATGAAAAGAAGAGAAATAACAGTATTTTGTAGGCATTGAAAAGACAAGGGACTAGTCAGAGAGAGACCACTGCCAAGGGCACCACTGCAATATTCCAAAGTGTGTAACTGTAGGTGAGACAGCAGGCTGGTAATGGGTATGAAAGGTCATTTTGTTACAAAAATCAATGTTAGTTTATGAGAAAGTTTAGTTTTAGGCAATACAACAGTCCAGTATAACATTTGCCCAGTAAAAGTGTCTGTAGATGACTGAAGAGAGGAATAAAGCAAAGGGTTAAAGTTGAAAATAATTCTAGGCAGTTAGAATAAAGCTACACTTGCTTTAAGCAACCAAGGTACATTATTAACTTTTAAAATAAAAGCTAATGAAAACTATGTGCTTTAAAAAAAAACAATAAAGAAGAAATTATTTTAATGCATCTCAAGCATTATTCAGTTTATGAATGTGTTTAGACATACTATATTAGATCAAGGTAAACTTATACCTTACTCAAAGCAATGAGCTGCCATGAACTATTAAAGATTGATTATGTTATTAATATCTATCTCTTTATTCTATAGGCAAGAAGCATAAAAGAACAACAACAAAAGATCTGAGCTATGACATGGCAGGATGTAGAAAAAACCTTGAAACTGGAAGCCACGTTTATTTCCCCTGGTATTAAGACCAAAGTTTCAGAAATCATTACAAAACGTGCTCTGGGAATTGTTATTCCAGGGTAAAGTAATAATATCATATCCCCATACCGTTGTGTGCCCCTAGCCCACACCCCACCAAATAGGCTACAAAATACCTTCCTAGTTTGGAACTAATTTTTTGTTCCAGTTGTCTTTTCTTGGTTTTTCTTTCAAGAAGCTCTTTCTTCTTTTGTCTAAGTTCATTATCTTTGTGTTCTAGATGTTTGCTTGTCTCACGTAAGGCAATCAACCCTGATTCCACTGCTCGCAATTTTCTATTAATTTCCTATGGAATTCAAAATTATTAATGTTTTAAAAAAGAGTTTGAGTTAAAGTAGTATAAATCCAGTTAATACTTTTTTCTAACACTCAAATCAAAATAACCAACCTTTAGATGTTCTTCTAAGTGTCTTCTTTGCTCCAGATCCACAGTAACTGTGAGAAACTGGGCTACTTTTAGGGACGTGTTACTAGAAATAACTTTGTTTGAATAAAAAGAAGTTTTCACTACATACTTTTCTTCTGCTGTATATATTTGTTTTAACCGAGTTTCTTGTATTACCTACAATGTAAAATAAGTATTAGTGCACATCTAATCATTATGATGATATATTTAAAATGACTAAAGAATTATAAATAAGAGCAACTGAATTTTTGAAGATCAAAATATAGTAGATATAGTTTCATTTTTAAAAACTTATCCAACAACATCTCCAAAAAGGTGGCTGGTACATTTCAGATTATTATTTCAGATAACAACTAAGAGAATTAGAAGAAAATCAAAACAACTAGCAAAAGTATACTAAGTATACTTTTGGAGCTTTGCTTTATCTACAAAAGAGATACCAGGGGCCAGGTGTCCATTAAATAGAACTGTGTTATCTCATGTAAGTCATTTACTCTCCCTTCCCCTCAGTTACACTGTTCAAAGATACATAATCTTATATTCAATTCCTGTATAGCTGAGAGAATACTTAATGAAAACAGCCTGCAATGGTTTCAAAGACTTGTATTTTGGGGTGATCTTCTCTCTCAAGAACTTATACAAAGAGTTTCTTAAAGTACATTCTAAATACCATAACATTATTATCTATTTCTGTATATGTATAAAGAATAGCTGTTGTAAGACAGTTTTTTCTAATCTTTAAAGGTTCACAACAAGTACTCTTGTGGCACATTTCTCTCCAGAAGTTTAGTTTATAGTCTAAGGAGAAGATCCATTTAAGCACACTTAGTTTAATAGGTATAAACTGGCACTCCTAAATGCTGAATACTTTGGGATGGAAAGCCTAGATGAGGTTAGCATTCATAAATTTCATGAAAATTAGTTTTAAATGGGTTTTTAACTGACTAGAGATGGTGAGGGAAAGGCACTCTCACCAAAAAGGACATCATGGGCTAAGGAGGTCAGTAGACAATTAACCGAAGGGAAGATTCTTAGAAATTAATGAGAGAACAATTCCATAGCTAGGTTATAAACATTGTTAGAGAACCTAAAACGGTGGACTCAATAATAAAACAAAACTTACACTAAACATGTATTTTTAATCTAAGGAAGTAATATAGCTGTTATTGTCATTATCTAGACATGAAACAGAAGGACTGCAAATATAGACAGTAACTTTCTTAAACAAAGGTTTTATCGTCTGAAAGATAGTTAAGATAAAGGCAGGGGCTTTACCAAGTGTCTGAAATACTTCCTAACTTGGCTTTACTGTATATTCACATGTCTGAGAAGTGTTGCATCATAATTTATAGAGTATTTACATATAACATTTCACTGAGTTGGGCACTGGAATAATAAAATATAAGAAACAATGTGTTCAGGAATTTTTAAAAATACCATCACCTAAATTTTTAATATAAATTGTATGAATTCCAATGCTATTTCTCTAGTATGAAGGGTTAAAGCTCTCTAGGTGATTCAAAAAAATGTTAAAAAATAAAAAGTACATAAAAATATTTCACCTTGAAGCACTGTTCAAAAAAGTAAAAGGATCTTCTAAATGCAGTAATTGTTCCTTTCTGCCCTAAAGTAAAACTATGAAAGCCCTTACCAAATTTTCTATAGTCTTTTTGCAATAGTAAAGAATTCCTACTACCCTTACCTTCAGCTAGCCCTACCTACCTCTAAAGTTATAACAGAGACTGGTTTGGTCTATGTATATGGTCTTGTTCTCTTTTCTAAACACCTTGGAATTAAGACAGAAGAGAGGTATATCTACACGGAGTTATAGTTTTGGTTCCTCAAATGATCACCATAATTTGAGGTAATTTTTAATCAAAGACAAAGGCAACTTACTATAATTAGCTTATTTCTGCAAAATGAATTGGTTAGCCCTCATTTTTATCTTTTGTTAATTGAAGTATAGAGTCCTCAAATTGCAAATGAATTATCCTAAGTATATGTGTACACCGGTTGTTAAAATTTTTGAACACATTTGCTAATAAATTCAATATTATAAATAGCTATTAGGTCTATAATTGGGTCCTAGATGCTTACAAGTGGTATTAACATGGCAAGATGGCATTATGAAAAATCTGTTTTGAAGAGCTTTCTTCCCCATTTCTGTGATAAAAACAACAAATGTGGTTTGGCGTCTTAGAGATTACTTCTAAGCAGAAAATTCTAAGTGGCATTAGCAGAATATTGGAAGTAAGAGTTTATTTAGCTATACTAGCCAGGAAAATGAGATCCTATTAAGATTGCCTCACATATGAGGCAATCTTAAGTGGAAGTTTTAAGTAGGGGAGGGTTTACCAAACCATTTCTATATCCCAGCCTACCATCCTGAAGTATAATTTGTTTGAAAGATAATCTAGAATACAAGAATCTAAATGATTAAACCATTAACCTAATGTTTCAACATAGGTTTTATCAAGCAAGGTAGAATCAGGTAAGAGTGCCAGGTGTTCCTTTGCAGGTTTTAACTTATTTAATTACTCTACAGGTATTAAGTATTTATTTACTCTCAGTAACTCCATATCACCCCTAACATAAAAGTATTAGTCAACAATTGCTGTATTATGCCATATTAAAATTATAAAAAAGAAAATTTCTGTGTGATCAGAACCAGAATGACATGCTTCTTTAAATTTCTCACACTTTTTCCTTGACTTTAAGCTAAGAAATTTTAACAGAACTACGTTTTTGGTACTGATTTAGTACTTTCTTACCCGTTCAATTCTTTCTCTGGTCCTTTCAGTACCTACAGGAACTTCATGAATATGATACTGGCTGCAAAGGTAACTCATGACGGGAGCAGGTGCATCAAACAGCTCTCTCAAGTAAGAGAAAAATCCATATTGTCTGAAAGGAAAAGCATCTATTAGATTTTTCTTCTTAAAATATCATTTAAAAAAAACTGAGCTGACAAGTGGCCGATCAACAACAAATAAATCTTTTTTCTCTGTATATTTTAAAATTAAGTGATAAATATTGAGATTTATTTCTTTCTTTGTCAAATAATATATATATGATTAAACACTAAATAAATATCATTTAAAAAAAACTGAGCTGACAAGTGGCCGATCAACAACAAATAAATCTTTTTTCTCTGTATATTTTAAAATTGATTAAGTGATAAATATTGAGATTTATTTCCTTGTCAAAGTAATAATATATTTATGATTACGAACTATTAATCTATTCTTTTGTTGCTTCTCCTATTGCTTTTACATTTAGAATGTCTACTTACCTCCAGAGTTAAAATATTTACTTACAGCTGTTTTATAACTGCAATTTTTCCATTTAGTCTTTCTGGAAATTGGAAATTATTTCTACATTATTAAGTGATGATTTCTCATTTTATTTTCCCAATAACTAACCAATAACTAACTAATTTTAGTATCTTTTATTAAATAGTCCAATACTGTTCCACTGATTTAAAACATTACCATCACATACTAACTATACCATGGTCTGTTCCTGGGCCTAGATTTTTCCTTTTTTGACTTAAATAGAGATTCTACAGGAAGATAATGTAGCCTACAACAAACATTTATGTGACAGAGATAATCAAAATAGACTTAAATGGTAAATGATTACGCTATTCAAAAGGGAACAGGTTAGTTCTAATAATATTTTCAAGACTTACTTTAGTTCATTCAGAGATCTTGAAGGTGCTCTATCTGCATATGAACTCTTGGGAGCAATAACAGCATTTACTCTTAATTTTTTATTGTCACGAACCTGAATATAAGGAAAAGAAAATAATTACCAACTCCTGTCAATCAAAATGTTACCATATTCCCACTGGCATTCATGGGATGATCAGAAATTCAAACACTGACAGGGTATTTAATATTACTTATAAGAAAAACTTTTAGTGAGATGACAATGTAATTATGTGTTTTTACAAAGAGTCCATTTCTTTTATCATTTTCACTGATAAATTCTATGAAAATTAAGTAATACTATCAGAACTCTTTCAGAAAACAGGAGAGACATTCCCTAAGTCATTTTATAATACCAGGATAATCATGATAGCAAAATGTGACAAAAACATTGTAATATCTCTCATGAACATATATGCAAAAATCCTTAACAAAATATTAGTAAACAGAATGCAGTAGTAAGTGTATGAACAATATACATGACCAAGTATGTGAAATTGATGTAACATTCAAAAATCAACCAATGTAATTTATTGTAAATAAAATATAAAAATCATATAATCATCTCAGTAGATGGCAGAAAAAAACATGACAAAATTCAATAGCCATTCGTGATGAAAATTCTCAGCAAACTAGGAATAGAAAGAAACTTCCCCAACTTGATAAAGGGCATCTATGATAAATGTACAGCAGATAAAATACTTAATGGTGAACTATTGAGTGTTTTCCCTCTAAGACAGAAAGCAAGCAACGATGTCTAATCTTACCACTTTTCAACACTATCCTGACGTATTAGAAATGTAGTGGAGCACAATAAAGTAAAAGAATTCCAGGACCAGATGGCTTCACTGGTGAATTCTACCAAACATTCAAAGAAGATTCAATACCTATCTTTCTCAAATTCTTTCAAAAAATTGAAGAGGGAATACTTCCTAACTCATTTTATGAGATCAACATTACCCTCATACCAAAACCAGACAAAGACAACACAAAAAAATGTATAGGCTAATGAACACAGATGTAAAAATCCTCAACAAATCGAATACAAAATACACAGAAGAAAACATCAGCCCTAAACTCATGGACCTTGGTCTCAGAGGGGTTTTTGCGGACTTGACCCCAAAGGCAAGGTAAATAAAAGCAAATAATAAATGAATGGGACAATATTTAACCAAAGAGCTTCTGCATAGCAAAAACAAAAACAACAACAAAAAAACAACAAAAACCCAACAAGCAAGCAACCAACGAAATGGGAGAAGATATTTGCAACAGATATCTCCACTGAGGAAAATATGTAAAGAACTCATACAACTGAACAACAACAAAAAAACGATCCAACTAAAAAATGGGCAGAGTATCTGAACAGACACTTCTTCCAAGAAGACAAACAGCCAACAGATAAATGAAAAGATGCTCAACCTCACTAGCTATAAGGGAAACACAAATCAAAGCCACAATGAGATACCACTTCACAGCTGTTAGAAGGGCTACCTTCGGTAAAATAACAGCAAATATTGGAGGATGTGGATAAAAGAGAACCATCATATACTGCTGACGGAACATAAATTGGTGCAGTCTCTATGGAAAACAAGACGGAGGTTCTTCAAAAAATTAAGAATAGAGCTACCATATGATCTAGCAATCCCTCTTCTGGGTATCTACCTGAAAAATTAGAAAACACTTATTCATAAAGATATATATATCCCTGTGTTCTCTGCAGCATTATTCACAATACCCAAGACATGGAAACAACCTGTCCTTCGTCAGATAATTGGATAAAGAAGATACAGTACATATATACAATGGAATACTACTCAGCCATAAAAAGGATGGAATACTGCCATTTGTAACAACGTGGATGGGTCTTCAGAGTATCATGCTAAGTGAAATAAGCCAGATGGAAGAGGAAAAGAACCATATGATTTCATTCATATGTGGTATGTAAAACATAAATTCTTGAAACTACTTTCACAGTATTCTAGGACTGAACAAACGAGTAAATATATTGATAAAGGGCTATGTTTTTCACTGCTACAGAAGTAGATTACAAATATGTAAAGAAGAAAGATTGGAAGGTACCCTGTTGTGTTGGATTGTAACTGGAAATATCAGTGTAAACGCATGCTGCACTAATGTTCTCTTGTTCTCTAGATAAATAAAGAAATACAGATATAAAAGTTTGCATGTGAAGACTTAGAAGAAATGAGACACTAGCAGCAAGAACAAATCTAGTACCCAGATCTTGGTTTCTAAAAGGAACTAGGGTTTGTTCTTTAAGAAAAAGGCTGACTGTGAGACCCAAACTGAGTAAGTTTAAGATGATTCAGTATCTTGTTCTGTCAAAAAGTAAGTAGTGCTCAAAATCTGATGGCAATACATCAACAGAAGAACACAGGAGTCAACTTGAGGAAGGTCTCACTGGCCAAAGCTGGGACAATTTGAGCATTAAAATAACAGTAATGGATTATAATCCATAAAAAAAAATAAAATTCTGTGCTATGTAAGTAAATAGGGAAGGAAAAAAAAGCTTTTCCACATAGAATGCCAGCTCATGAATGATTCTTGAACCTACTAGTTTCGTGAAGAACAGGATATTATAAGGTCTCAAAGTATTTACACACACATAATTCAAAGAGAAAAGTTTTGCTATAATGCTTGTTTTGAAGACAGATTTGTTCCAAGCAATTGATATAACAGGAGACAATTTAAGCATTACATGAATTTCACATTTGTTTATATACAATTATATCTACAAGAAACATGATTTTTCTTTAGGGTGGATGCTGAAAACCACACCCAGTTGAACTGAGCTGCATAGGAATACACATAATTTGTACATGAGTACACAGACACATACACACTCAAACATCTACCAGCTATTCAGGTCAACACGTTATGAGCCACACCCAACCACATTTCATGCTGCAACTTTACATCTGGTTTCAGATAAGCGCTTTTAATTGTTTGACCAGCTACATAATTCACAAACTGAACCCTTCCAATACCTACTTCCACAAGCCAACTTCAGATCTTTTTAAAAACAAAGTACCATATTTATTACATTTGTGTATTTCTTGACAATTTAAAATATGTAAAACTGTGCTACGATTTTTTCCTCCTAGGCCTAGTGGGTTTTCATTGTACAATTTTGTACAGCACAGTGATTTTTAGAAATACATATACTGGGTGATAGCAAAACTGACTGTACTTTGCAAATGGAGAGATAATAAAGTAAATAGGGAAAAATGTAAATAGTGAATCAGGGTAAAAGGTATTCAGAATTTCCATCTATACTCCTGCAACTTTTCTGTAAGTTTAAAGTTATATAAAAATAAAGTTATTAAAAAGAAATAAAGTATAGATGAAATAATACAGATGAAACAATACTGGCTATGAAGCAATCTATCAACGACACATGTAGGGTAAGTTTGTAAAATGTATTGTTTGAGTGGTTACACTAAATAAAAGTGAATTAGACAATGAGAAAATAATTTTTTTCAATTCTCTTTCAATATTTCTAATCATACCAAGGAAAAAGTTTCTGTATGTTGTCAGAATGTCCTTAACTAATTATATTTTTAATCATGTTCTCTGCTTTCAGTAAGCAACAGTACAGATCTAGGATTTACTAACACTTTTTTAGATACATGTATCCCAATGTTCTCTGCAGCATTATTCACAATACCCAAGACATGGAAACAACCTGTCCTTCGTCAGATAATTGGATAAAGAAGATACAGTACATATATACAATGGAATACTACTCAGCCATAAAAAGGATGGAATACTGCCATTTGTAACAACGTAGATGGGTCTTCAGAGTATCATGCTAAGTGAAATAAGCCAGATGGAAGAGGAAAAGAACCATATGATTTCATTCATATGTGGTATGTAAAACATAAATTCTTGAAACTACTTTCACAGTATTCTAGGACTGAACAAACGAGTAAATATATTGATAAAGGGCTATGTTTTTCACTGCTACAGAAGTAGATTACAAATATGTAAAGAAGAAAGATTGGAAGGTACCCTGTTGTGTTGGATTGTAACTGGAAATATCAGTGTAAACGCATGCTGCACTAATGTTCTCTTGTTCTCTAGATAAATAAAGAAATACAGATATAAAAGTTTGCATGTGAAGACTTAGAAGAAATGAGACACTAGCAGCAAGAACAAATCTAGTACCCAGATCTTGGTTTCTAAAAGGAACTAGGATTTGTTCTTTAAGAAAAAGGCTGACTGTGAGACCCAAACTGAGTAAGTTTAAGATGATTCAGTATCTTGTTCTGTCAAAAAGTAAGTAGTGCTCAAAATCTGATGGCAATACATCAACAGAAGAACACAGGAGTCAACTTGAGGAAGGTCTCACTGGCCAAAGCTGGGACAATTTGAGCATTAAAATAACAGTAATGGATTATAATCCATAAAAAAAAATAAAATTCTGTGCTATGTAAGTAAATAGGGAAGGAAAAAAAAGCTTTTCCACATAGAATGCCAGCTCATGAATGATTCTTGAACCTACTAGTTTCGTGAAGAACAGGATATTATAAGGTCTCAAAGTATTTACACACACATAATTCAAAGAAGAAAAGTTTTGCTATAATGCTTGTTTTGAAGACAGATTTGTTCCAAGCAATTGATATAACAGGAGACAATTTAAGCATTACATGAATTTCACATTTGTTTATATACAATTATATCTACAAGAAACATGATGTTTTCTTTAGGTGGATGCTGAAAACCACACCCAGTTGAACTGAGCTGCATAGGAATACACATAATTTGTACATGAGTACACAGACACATACACACTCAAACATCTACCAGCTATTCAGGTCAACACGTTATGAGCCACACCCAACCACATTTCATGCTGCAACTTTACATCTGGTTTCAGATAAGCGCTTTTAATTGTTTGACCAGCTACATAATTCACAAACTGAACCCTTCCAATACCTACTTCCACAAGCCAACTTCAGATCTTTTTAAAAACAAAGTACCATATTTATTACATTTGTGTATTTCTTGACAATTTAAAATATGTAAAACTGTGCTACGATTTTTTCCTCCTAGGCCTAGTGGGTTTTCATTGTACAATTTTGTACAGCACAGTGATTTTTAGAAATACATATATTGGGTGATAGCAAAACTGACTGTACTTTGCAAATGGAGAGATAATAAAGTAAATAGGGAAAAATGTAAATAGTGAATCAGGGTAAAAGGTATACAGAATTTCCATCTATACTCCTGCAACTTTTCTGTAAGTTTAAAGTTATATAAAAATAAAGTTATTAAAAAGAAATAAAGTATAGATGAAATAATACAGATGAAACAATACTGGCTATGAAGCAATCTATCAACGACACATGTAGGGTAAGTTTGTAAAATGTATTGTTTGAGTGGTTACACTAAATAAAAGTGAATTAGACAATGAGAAAATAATTTTTTTCAATTCTCTTTCAATATTTCTAATCATACCAAGGAAAAAGTTTCTGTATGTTGTCAGAATGTCCTTAACTAATTATATTTTTAATCATGTTCTCTGCTTTCAGTAAGCAACAGTACAGATCTAGGATTTACTAACACTTTTTTATTAACTTTATTGTTATAATAATTATGTTTTTTCCAATTTGGTAGTGGCATACTTCCTTTTAAAATATTTTGAGTAATAAAAAGTGATTTAAAGAAAAATATTAAATAATAGTATAGTCAGTACCCATAGATGGCAAAAATTGAGAAGGTAGTACATAGTAGTATAGTAAATGGCAAAAACTATGAAGATGGTTTATAAGTTACTTAAGGATAGGAAATGTATTCTAGTAGGTACAAGAAGAAGGTTATATATAATAAATTTCACAATTTAAAATCCGTAAGTAATACATGTAAGAGGAAGTCCTGGTCCTACTGAGGAGATGCTATGGAAAGTTGTTACAGCACAAGAAAAAAATAACAAAGGTCACATTTTGAGGAACCGATGTCATATTATTAACATATGGTTCAAAACTCTAGCACAGAGGAAGCATGGATTTTTAATGCAAAGCGAGCTCTTCAGTATAGGTAAGCTAGCATGATTTGAAAAATAGAAATCATCTACTAACACTAACTGAAGACCCTTCACAGTGTGTCATGTTTCACAGACTCATAAACCAAGCAACCTACTTCTTCAGTGAGCTCTGACACCAGATTACTAACTCACTGTTTCGGCTTAAATAGTTCTAAAATACACTAACGTTCAAGTTCTTGGAGTTCATTTTATAATTTTATCCATTCAACCTTTTTATCCAGTCACCAGGTATTCACATACCCTGCCCAACTCCCACACCAGACAGAGGACAATAAGATAAAAGCCAAAGAAAGTAAAGATTCTCTCCAATCACTTGTGTACCAGAGAAACAGAGGCCCACTTGAAATGATTCAGGGTCCTATCCTCACTTAGACTTACTAGCAAAGGTTTAAACAAAATGAAATCTAAACCCAATTTTTCTGGAGCTTTTAAAGAAGTAGAGACATATGCAAAAGGAAAAAATCTTACATTAACAAAATACACAGCTAACTATATATTACTATTACATAGATATATAATAATAAACAGCTAACAAGTACTATTTAAATACTTTTTCATTTACTAAATGATTTAATCCTCACAAAAATCTTTTGAAGTAGATAATATTATCTCCATTTTAGAGATAAGAAATCTAAGGCACAAAACATTTAGGCAACTTGCTCAAGTTAGTAACAAAGCCAGAATTCAAATCCTGGCAGCTAACCTGTAGAGACTATGCTCTTAACTACTAAACCATACTGTCTTTCCGTGGCTTAGATTCTTAGTGGTGTTTTCTAGTCTGATACAAGATTCTCATTCTTTTGACAGTGGTTTTATTTATATCATAACAACATATTGATTTCTCATCCAAAAAAAAACCTGAGTTCATTCCATTTTTCAAAAGGATGCTGAAGACCAAAGGTCCATCATTATGATGTTTCTGTCTCTTAAAACACTGTGACAGAATTACTCTTCATATCAATCCCAAATGAGAATTTCAAAATAAATTAGAGGAAATTATGGGTTGTTTTTCTTTATAAAATAGATCCCCAATAATGGCATAGATAGGAAAGAAGTTGGCAAAATGAATGATTTTTTACATAAGAGTTACTGCTGGTCAAATCAGTCATTATCGTTTTTTGCTCTAGTTTGAATTTTAAAATTCATTACAAGATGAGTGCCAAGTGAGTTAAAATATTATGTTGGTTAGTACTTGCCTCTTTGAGGAAAACCTCCATATCTTCTTGACTTTCAAATACAAAGGCTCTCAAGTCATTAGATGGAATATGATTTTCAATATATTTGGCATTTCTATTATCTTTCATATTGATCTAAACAAAACAAAAAAAAAAGTTGATTTTCACGTAATTCTAACTGATTACTAGAATATAATTGTATTTAACTTAGATTTATTAAATGCCTGAGAAAAAGACAAAAAAAAAAATAGTATTAAAGGGTCAACATTGTAAAACATCTATTTATTACCCAGAAACATCTAATACATAGTAAAATAAAGCTAAGACTTCAATAGTTCCTAAAGCATAGCAATTTTGATATTATCTAATAAGTTCCTTTTTGGTCAACTCATTGAAAACACTGAAATAGTTTTGGTGACCTTAGAGTATAAACATTTCTAATCTGTCTCCGAATTTTTAATATTTTTCTTCTTAATCTTCAAGAGGAATTCATGTTATACATGGTAATAAATGATTGGCACAAAAACACAAAGAACTGAATAAAACTTTATGAAACTAATGAAAACAAACTAGCTATGGATTAATTGTAACTATGAGTGCCTTCAAGAGAAACCCGAGGTTTGTACCACTAGAGCATAAACTTAATAATTTATTTTTAAAATATTAACTAATTAGGCATTTTCACATGTTGAGGCTCAGTGTATTGAAGATACTAAGATAGGTCAGGAAAATACTGTTTCAAGAAGAGTATAATCTATTATTTATCACAAATGGCAAGTATGTTGAAAAGCAAAACACAAATCTCTATAACACAGGTACATAAAAAATGCCATCTATGCAAATTTAGAGGAGAAATAGGTCCAGCAGATGGAGATCAGCTTTCTTAAAGTAAAGCTTTTCGAAAGAGAAGGTATTTATGTCTTATATATTTAACATAAATAACCCTATGTATAAATATAGAAATAAATGAAATATAGCATACAGTTAAAAACTAGGGCTATGGGGTCAGACAGATGTCACTTCAAATCCTATGTGTGATCTTGATCAAATACTATTTAAATCTCTGAAAAGTTTAATTCATCCTTAAAATGGATACAGTACGCAGTCTATACTTCATAGGAATAAATGTGAATTAAAAGAGTATAATAAAAAGTAGTGCAGTGCTTGCTACATAAATGTTGGCCAATATTACTCTATTTTAAATTATAGAATCTCAATCAGTGTAAAAAAATGATAGATATACAAACAAAACCACATAAAATACTATAGCACCTGGACATAAACACTATAAATATTTACTGTCTATTGTTTCACAATGTTTTTGGGGGGTACCAAATTACAGGAAGGAACCGTACAAATGAAGGAAAATATATGTGGTCAACACGTTAAGTTGCTACAACTTATAGAAAGAGTAAAGTAATGCTAATAAGACCATAGGAAGTCACTTTTTTTTTTTTTATAGGGTTGGGTAAGCCAGGCTAGGACTTAGCTCTCATTATTATTCTTTCCCAGGTGTAGTTGTCAGAGATATTCTGTCATGTCAGATTCCAGAGCCCCCATCTTGTATAAGTTGGTCACATGGTCATTCACATGGTCATTGATGAATTTCACCTGCTTATTTGTTATGTAATAAGTCTCAAGGAAAATCATAGAAGTAAGGGTCATTTACTGGCCAGTTTGTTCATTTCCAGTAATGACTGATTCACACTTTTTTCCAAGTGTAATGCATACTCCACTGCAATCATGGTCTGAAGGAAGATCTGGCCACCTGTTGGTTCTACAGCTTCATCAGTTTCTTAGTATGCTTCTTCTGAGATTGGTGAAGACAATATTTGGCAAAGTTTTCCAAAGACACATCTTTATAGTCACAGTAGTAAGACACAGACAGGTAGACACAGGAAGTATATACAGTACTCCAAGATGATCTGGTGGTTAATGGCAGCATCCTATTTCACAATTTTTTAAAATGAAATCTTTCTATACATTCTACCCTATAATGTTTTATAATTCATTAACATATCCTAAATGTCCTTTTATATACATAGGGACCTACAGCACCATTTTTAATGGCTGCAAAGTAATCCAATACAAAGAGTAATTTACATGACTAATATCTTTGAAAATTTTGCTCCTTTGCCCCATCACTTTGCCATTATGAACACTACTGTGAGGAGTGTAAGTGTAAAAAAATCTTTGCACGCCTCTAATTCTATACTGAAATTGTTAGAAATAACTCATGGAAAAAGTGATAATTGACAAGATGTATGACTAAAATTTTAAGTTTACATGTTGCTGATTTGCCTATGAAGATGGTAGTGTTTCAACTAAATCTTGAAAAGTAAGTGTGTGTGGGAATATAGCTGGAAGGAGGTGGTAGGAAATGTGAAGGGTTATTAGGGGAAAGAAGCAGAGTATATCTTTTTATCTCAAAGATTCAAATATAATTTAAAATGTCAATGTATGCCAGCAAGTAAAGCGACTTGGTAATATAGGCTACCAATATTAGAAAACTAAGTGACAAGAGGATGACTAATAAAGTTCTAAAGTATTATTTTGAGGTTGGCATTTAAATAAAAATTTGACAATTATACTTGATTGTTACTTATTATATTAAGGATCACAATATTTTTTCTTATATTTTCTTCCAATCCTTACCAGATTAATCAAAACAATAATGCCTGAGTCCAAAATATATATTCCCTTCTTGATCTGCCAAAAATATTCTAATAACACATACCTGAGCAAAAAGAGAATACAGTATTATGCATATTAATTTTGATAATGTAAGCTATAAGAAAATGAACTATATGAAATGATTTAATAAAGTATAACACAAAAATGGGTTAGATAAAATAGAACTTTTCATGAATCCTGCAATGATACATTCTTTTCTAAAGTAAAAAAAATTATCTAGCAAAAACAATCCTTAAGTCATTTTCAGGTAAGTTTTAATTTATAATATAAGAGCTATCAAATGTTTATGAGGTCAACAAACTGTTGGTTTCACTCTCAGAATCCTCAGAATGCTCTGTTTTTGTAGCAGGTGATTTTCTTGTCTATCTTCTGTCAGGATCCTCATATCAACATATTTATTTATAGCAGTTTTCTACTCCTTTGGTAGCACTTAATCTATTGCCTGCTATGACCTAAGAAAAGCAAATGCCAGAAGGAACCAGCTAATCAAGCAGATTTTATACACGATTCTTAGTCAATAAGGTGTATTTTCATTTCTTTCTAGAAAAAGTTCGCAGGTGTATTGATCAAGGGTCCTTGGTCAATACTTGTGTATGGATTCAGCAGTATACCAGTTGCCACAAGTAATGGAAAACCAGGGGTGTAAATAAGACAAAGAATTCTTAAAACAACAAAAATCTATGATAAAACAGATTCTACCAAGATGAAGAAAATTTCTTACCGTGAGCATTATGGGCTCATAGACTCTCTGCTTAAATTTATCTCTGTTATTTCTCAGCCATAAAACAGCATCATATGTGTCACGGTATCTCTGTCTCAGCTTATCTTCCTTTTGATTCATAAGATTGTCAAATTGTACAATTTGATCATTCACACCTAAAATTGAAAAATAAAACTAAGTACTGTTTTCCTGAAAACTTCATTAGTAAAATAATAATACAAAAGAATATCTTAGATCCACACATTACAAACACCACTCAACAGACACCCAGCATAGTAATATTATATCTTCTTTTGTCATTTAACAATCGTCAAAACTTTAAAATATTTTTTATTTTTAAATTACTGCTGATATACAATATTATATTAGTTTCAGATGTCTAACACAGTGATTAGACATTTGTATAACTTATGAAGTGATCACTATAATATATTCAGTACTCATCTGACATCATACAATTATTACAATATTACTGACTATAATACCCATGCTCTACATCCCTATGACTATTTCGTCAACTACCAAGTTATACCTCTTATTCCCCTCCCCTTTCACCTATCCTACCCAAGCCTCCACACACACAATTTAGTAACCATCGAAATGCCTCTGTATGAGTATGCTTCTGTTTTGTTTGTTCATTTATCCTGTTCTCCATATTCCATATACAAGTAAAATCATATGACATTTGATATTTTCCATTACTCATTCCTGAGTTTAATAGAAACGTCCCTCCTAAGGTGGGTCATTTCTTGGGCACTTTGTGACTATCCTTTCCCACTTTACTTTGATGCTATTTTATTTAGTGATCTTCAATTTGTTTCCTTCACCAGTTTTGCCTTGTAGAAGGAGATGCCCTGCATGGTAATGGGCTTCGATTCTCAAGCTAAGGGCCTCTACTACAAATCTCCACTTGTAAAATACTTGAACTTCCACATAAGCTCATCGTATCTAGATACAAAACAGATGAGGTCAAGCAAACAATTTTTATCAATCTGATATAAGGAAAAGGTAAATCAGAAAGTTCAGTTGGTTTGCCAAAGTTCAGTCCATTGATATGTGCCAGAGCTAAGACTGAAAAAATAAGACAGCCAACACTTTCCAAAATACCAGCACCCATAGAGAGTAACATAAAGATCAGGAGGTGAGAGAATGAGCTCTATGGACAAAAATTGTGAATGTTTCTTCCTGACACTTCTCTCAACCTATATGCCTTCTAGTTCTCTGCCTCCTTGTGGCTTCTGTGACTTAGGTTTCCATTCAGGAGCCCAATGAGTGACTCATATTCCTCTCTCACACCCGGGAGGCACTGAGGATGACATAAGAGATGAAGGGGAGAGAAACTGTGGCATCACAGACAAGCTGAGAACAGGCGTGATTCCTTCATATACACAGCCTGTGTGTCAATACTTCTTGAATGTACCCACCCCAAACAAATTATTCTCAAATTTCCAAACACCTGGGATAAAATACGATCTTTAAGCCATCAAAAATAAATAGGTCACATACAAAAGAATGAGAAAACACTAGATTTCTAATCAGAAGACAATCACAGTCAGCAATCAAAATTATGAGAGAAAAACTTTTCAACTTAGAATCATATATATGACAAAATCAAGAAAAGGCGACAATGACGTAAAGATATTTTCAGAGATGCAAAGACTATGAAATTAATTTCCAAATATCTCTTCTGAGGAGGTTACCTGAAGATGTACTCTAACAAAACATGAGAGTAATTTTAGAAAAACAGAAGATGGGATTCAGGAGCAGCTTTATCCAGCACAGAAAAGGATCCAAGACTAATCCCAGATGACTGCCATGCAGGAGGTCTTAACCATCAACTTAGAAAGGAGGTGGGAAGGCCCCAGAACACAAAAGAATGCCTGATAAGATAGGTGGTTTTTTTGTTTTTTTTTTTCAATTTAAGTAAATGCTAAAGCAAATGATATTTTTTAAAAAAGGTAAATTAAAACCATTTAAAACGCTATCAATGAAAGAGAATTAGGTCATAATACACTACTTGGTGTAATACATTGCTATGAATAAGCTTCATTGGTGTAATAACAATACTTAATATTTCTAGCTTTTAGAATTAACCCATAAACAGACCACGCCAAACTTGATTACATTCTCAATAAAATGTTTTCAGTCTTAAAAATGTAAAAATGAGTTCCAGATTAGATAAGTTAGAATATGAGAAGGGAGAAAAGTAAAAAGGATGGGAGTACTAGTATTTTTAGCTTACAGTGTATAGTCAAGAAGTACTTATGACAAAAGATGTAAAAGTATTTGTAATAAATCAATATTAATAAAGTTTAATGATTAATTACTAATATTAATATAATCTCATTTGAGGCATTACAAAGATAGAAGCTGAAATCTATATCTAAAGTAACAAAATATCAAAAATTGATGAATCAAGCTATGGTGAAATGAGAATATGTAGAAAATATGTAAAGAACTGTGAGAAAAACTAAAACAGTTAAAAGTGTTTACACTTGAAAGTGGGTCTGAAGGTTAAAAAGAGGTTGGGCCACCCTTCTAGTTTTTTTTTTTTTCATTTAACCATAAACATCTAGTACTTTGATAAACATAAAAATGGGGTCTTATTCTTTTTTTTTACTCATCTTATATATACTGAGCAGACAAAATATAAGATCTCTATTTGAATAATGCTATAGAACTATCCATAGGGTCTGCAGAAAGAAAAGCAAAGTTAAACTGGACAGGTTTCAAGGAGTAAAGCAAATGGAAGCTTAACCAGACTAGAATAAAGAACTTAAAATTGAGCTGAAAAATAGCGAGTGACTTGTAAAGAAAACAAAGCATTTTTAGAGAATTAACTGCTATAATCTGACCTAAAACAATGGTCAGCCAGTGGCTAATCATGATAAATAATACATAAAGGTAATTAAGGCACTAAGTTTGAATAACTGAGCTGTGTTTCCTCAATAGGAACTAGACTTGAACATTTAAAGACATAACAAGGGAAGAAAACTCATCATCAGAGATATAGTTCCATTTTATAAACACGTCTTCATTCTAAGTTTAATAAAACTTACTCTTTTTCTCCTTCTCTAGAGTTTCCCTCTCTTTATGCTTATCAATTATCTCACTTTCACATAATTCCTTTTCATCTTGAACTCGTCTCAGATCATTTGTAATGGCATCAATCTGGGGTTGAAGATTCACACAGTTTTCTGTGCTCTTCAGTTCATTCTGCAAATCTTCTATCATTTTGCGGGTATTACTTATTCTCCTTTGTCGGTCATGCTCTTCATTCTGTTTTACTATTAAAGCCTGCTGAAGTTCCTCAATCTAATAAAACAAAAGTAGGTTAGTATTGGAGGTTGTTTTTTTTCCCTTTTTTATAAGGCTTTTATAGTTTTAAGAACACAAACATTCTTAAGAACATGAGTATTTTCCTCACTAAAAGGTATCCCACTAGAATGAGACAGTTACACCTACCAGACTACCTATAACTTTCTTTGTTCACTAATATAGCCCAAGTACTTAGAGTAGTGCTTAGCATATAGTCAGCACTCGTTAAATATCTGCTGAATAAGATATTTATGAAGCCAAATTGCTAAATATTTATAGGAAGTAAATACACGCTTCACATCCTAAGACTGACATCAAGTCACATGGTGTGTGACAGACTTTCAATAAATTAGCGATAATAAAATGATGATGTTAAACTGAAACTATTAATTTTAAACGGAAACTATTTCCTTTCAACAAAATTCTTTTCAACTAACACTTCAAGTTAATATTGAAAGATTTTTAAACATCAACCCACATGTTCTGATTCGCTGACTTATATTCAGGGTAAGTTATTTTTAAAAGTCATTTAAGTTGTCAATGAAATTTTTGTCAAAACCAAACAAAGTCTACCTAAGACAGCGTCAAGATTTTAAGAAACACATATACCTAAATATACGCTTATACACCCAATTTGTTTTTTAACAAAAATAGAATTTTGTATTAAAATAGATAAGGTTAGCGCATCACATAATTAGCCTATTAATTTACTTTCCAAGACTCATTTACTCCCTCTAAAAGTAACATTCATTATAGAAAATATGGAAAATACAGAAACAAAAAATCTATAATCCTAATGTCCTTAAACATTTACATTTTAATACCTATCTACAGAACATGTTTTACTAAATGGCATCACTAAAAATGTATTGAGAGCAATTTCTCATTATCCCATATGTCCTCACAAAATAAAAACTTTTTTTCTTCAAAATTAAATTTTAATACCTCAATCATGTCCTGTTATATGGTTATACCACATTTTAGCCTATTCCCTACTGTTGGAAGTTTGGGATGGTATCAATTTCTTCTTCCTAAAAATTGAGCTTTGACAGTGTTAAGATGATGAACTAAACATATGCCAAAATACTCTCTTCTATATCAAATATGGAGAAAAAATATTTAAAAAATTAAGTTACATATATGAAAATTAAAAATGTTCAATGGGCCTAAAACAAGGATGCAGACAAGAAGCCACGGTGTTCCGCCAGGAAACCATGAAGTCCAAGCCATTCAGGAGAATATATATATGCATGTTACAGAAGACAGGTATAAATCAAAAATTACCAAACACAAGAGGCAGTCCAAGTCCATGAAAAAGGACAAGAAATTTAATAAATATAACCTTTGCATTCCCAGCAAAATAGAGATCCTAGCTACCAAAAACTCGTTCAAGAAACTACCATGACTAATCCCATCATACTCATGATTAGCTTCGAATGTTCTTGTTCTAACTGAAACTTGGCTATCCTGGAAGACGCTTCTCCCTAGAGGCCTCTGAAGTGGTGACCGTTTCCTGCCATAATTCTTAAGAGTATTTTAGAACTCAGAAGTGGGGAAGGTGTCTCCATTTATACCTACTGTACTACTTCCTCTGTTAACTAAGCCCCATTTCAGTTCCTTTGAAGACCACTTGATTAGATTTTACTATCCGTTATCTTTGTTGCTACGTTAGCTACTGCCCTCAAAATTCTTCCTTACCCACTTTGGTTAATAATGGCTTTACCTACCACTCAACTGACTCAATGTCTTCCTCTTCCTCATTATGCCTGTCATCATGAGATTTCAACACACATAAAGAAAAATCAATCTCTTTGGCCTCTCTATTCCTTGACTTCTTCAACTTCAACTGTCTTCTAAACCACCCTTCCACCAACCACTATCTCTTACTTACTGTTTGTTACATTCTCGATCATGTAAATCCCTCCAAATCACACCATTTGTATTTCTACAATCCTATTCTTTGAACACCATGTCCTGTCTTCCATTTACTTACTATGGTATTCCTATTCCCACTACCTGCCGAGGTTCCACAATCTTGTAACCACTCCCTTGCAAAGACCTCGTGACCCTCTACCAACGTCACATTAGCCAGGAAAAAGCCTAGTTCTTTTAAAACCTAACTATATACCTTCTATCTATCTGTATCTAAGCAACTGAACTAATTGCAGAAACTCTCAAAAATCGGCCACACTTTAAATTTGTGGCCACAAAGCTTAAACAGACACAAAACGACCTATTACATTTCTCTAATAGATGTGTGCTCTCATTCTAAGTTCACATCTTCTTCCCTTTCCTCAGTCCTTTATTGCTACATACCCTCTACTCATTCAGCTAATGCTGTTGTCTCACACTTCATTAACAGCATAGTTAAAATAGGAGTACTTTTATTAGAATGCATTTTCTCTTTTCAAATCCATCACCCTACCTCCATCTGTACTCATTCTGCTTTACCTTGTATAATGTAAGGAGAGTTCTTTTAAATAGCTAAATATAACCCCTCCAAGGCTACTCCAAGCAGTATTTCTCAAATTATTTATGGTGAAGGACCACTATTGAAAAAAATTTCAAGCCATCATAAGTCAATTTTTATCAATTAAAACTACATAATTTTGGAAAATAGTTTCACAGCTGCTTTGAAAATTAAATATCCACCTATGATATTCTACTTCTAGAAAATGATCCAAGAGAAATGGAAACATATGTTCATACAAAAACTTGTATAAAATACTCATGGAAGCTTTATTGGTAATAGCCTCAAACCAAAAAAATACCTAAATGTCCACCAACAGGTGAATGAAAAAACAAATTGTGATCTCAAAAAATAAATAAATAAAAAGAAAAAATACATTAAACTGAACAAAAATAAAAATACAACATATCAGAATTTGTGGGATATAAGTAAAGCAGCGATGAGGGAAATTTACATCATTAAATCCATATACAAGAAAAGAGGAAGTTTCAATATCTGAACTTCCACCTCAAGAACCTAAAAAAAGAATAATATATACCCACATCAAGCAGAGGAAAGGAAATAATAAAGATATGAATAGACATTAGTGAAATTGAAAAGAGAAAAAGAAAAATCAATGAAACAAAAAGCTGTTTCTTTAAAAACAAACAAACAAACAATAAAATTAACAAACCTCTAGCAAGACAAAACAAACAAAAACCAAAAAAATCCCAGAAGACACAAATTCCAACATCAGGAATGATCCCTGTATCGTTACAGACCCTACAGACATCAAAAAGATAACAGAACTTATATACACATAAATTTGACAACTTAAACAAAATGCACCAATTCCTCAAAAAACACTACCACAAGTCATCCAGTATGAAATAATTATTTATATAGCCCTATAACTATTAAGTAAATTGAATTAATAATTTTAAACTCCCCTCCCCCGCAAATGTCCAGAGCCAGATAGTGTCATTTGAGAACCATTCAGAATTTTTAAAGAATTAACAACAATTCTATACAATCTCTTCCAAAATAAACAACAACAACAACAACAACAACAAAAAAAAAAAAAGAAGAAGAAGAAACACTTCCCAATTCATTTTATAAAGCTAATTATTATTCTGGTAACAAAAACAGAGACAGTACAAAACAAAAGCTACAGAATAATATCCTTCATGAATATAGACACAAAAATCTTTTAACTGTTAGCAAACAGAATTCAAAAATATGTAAAAGAAATTATATATTTATACATCACAACCAAGCAGAGTTTATTTCATGCATGCAAGGTTGATTTGATATTCAAAAATCAATCATTGTAATCCATCAATAATAACAGGCTAAAGATGTACATGATCATATCGATAGATAAAGAAAAAGCATGTGACAAAATTCAACACTCATTCATAATATTCTCAGAAATACAAGAAAGAGTGGAACTTCCTAAACTTGATAAAGAACATCCATTAAAAAAAAAAACCCTACAGCTAATATATAGTTAATAGTGAAAAACTGAATGTTTTCCTCCTAAGATGAGGAACAAGGCAAGGATGTATACTCTTACCATTCTTATTCAACACTGTGCTGTAAAAGTTCTAGCCCGTGCAATAAGGGATGAAAAGAAATAAAAGGCACACGGATCAGAAAGGAAGAAATAAAGCTGTCCCCATTTGTAGATGACACGACTGACTATGTAGAAAAGTACCAAGGAATAGATTAAAGGGCAGGGAAGAGAGGTGGGAGGAGGTAGGATGGGCGGAGAGAAAGGAGGTGGGGGGAGAGAGGAGGTAGGAGGGGAGGGGAGGGAAGAGGTAGAGGAGAGGAGGACGGACAGGGAAGAGAGAATGGAGGAGAGGAGGAAGGGAGGGGGAGGAAAAGAAATGAAAAATTTAGGTGGAATTTAGGTCCTCAAAACACTCTGAGGACCTGTATGCTGAAAACGATATAACACTGATGAAAGAAATCAAAGATCTAAATAATTGGAGACATACCGTGTTCATAGATTGGAAGACTCAACACAGTAAAGATTTCAATTCTCCCCAAATATACATGTTTAATGCAATTCCTATTAAAAATCACAGCAACATTTTTCTGTAGATATAGAAAAGATTTGGATGTCATCAGGAATGGTGAAGTCAGGAACTCTGAAAAATCACTCCTTCATAAAAGAAATGAAAATATTGACAAAAATTGTCAAAATTAACTTTTTCAGAACTCTAGAATTTAAACAAAGGCTTCCAACAACCTGGAAAGTGTTTATTCAAGAAAAATGTCTGAATCTTTGGAAAAAACAGCAAGCTCTGTGGTATTTTGAACATTCCCTATTCCCATTCCCCTCCCCCTCTCCCCAGTTCCAATGCAGCCTTGAAAACCAAAAGCCCACAATTATAGTGAAGTCAGCAGCCTCACAGTCACTTGAGAGATCAGAACAGGTTAGAGCTCTTTCAAATTCTCATTCTCAAAGAACTGTCATTATCTGATCTGCCTGGCAATTGTCTGGAAAATCTTACATACGAGGTTTGTCTTTATTTAACTT